GCCCCAGCCCAGCTCTCTCAGCCTGGCTCCAGAGCAGAGCTGCTTCAGCCTTCACAGCATCTCCATGGCCTTCTCTGGACTCACACCAACAGCTCCATGTTCTTCTTATGCTGGGGCCCCAAAAGCTGGATCAGGACTGCAGGTGGGTCTCACCAGAACAGAGCAGAATCCCCTCCCTCGACTGCTCACACAGTCTGTTCGTGCTCTGGGGATGCAGCCCACATCAGGGTTGTTGGTTTGGGCTGGAAGTACTTTCTGCTGGGTCATGGGGAGCTTCTCATCGCACAAAACCCCCAAGTCCTTCTCCTCAGGGCTGTCTCAATCTGGTCTCCACCCAGCCTGTATTTCTGCTTGGGACTGCCCCAACCCATGTGCAGCACCTTGCACTCAGAGAACCTTACACCTTATATTGCAGGACACTGTGATTCCCTGTGATGCAACTTGTTTGTTGCTGATGACTGGCTGAACTAGATGCCACAGCTTCACAGCAAAAAGCATGTGAAGTAGCAGAGGCTGATCCCTCTAGAAATGGAGCAGTAAATCAATTACATCAACTGCCATGGCACTGCTTCCACAGCTAATTATACCCCATGGACTTTGAAAAGCCACGTTATGTGCTCAGCATGCACAAGGCGCTATGGAGACGCAAGGTAAAAAGCTGGGAACTGGCAGAAATGGACAAGGAAAAGGGCCAAAATGAACCAGAAAAGTCAGGTAAGAGCCTCCAAGTGAAAGCATTCAAATTTGAGAAGGTGTTGGGGTTGTTTTTTGTGATCCTCTAATGCTGCCTTGGTCCCTCCTAACCCTGAGCAGCAGACACACCATTTATGCCATTCTGTTGCATGTTACTCCTCCCATCTTGTAGTGTTTTCTTGGAAACTGGTCTGTAGCTCAGCCATGCAGTGTCAGAGTAGTGGAAGAACTCAGTGACATGAAGCTGTGAGTGATATAATAAATAAATGAAAAGACCTTTGAAGCTGGAACAGAAAAAACCCATTCTCTTCTAAAAAGTAATAAACCTGCACTGTGCTCTGAAATCCAATATACATGTCTTGCACTGATGGAACTTAGGTGGTCTAGGAATTGTTTCTGCTGAAACTAGTGAGTTTATGGTTTTCAAAATCAAATCTTTTATGGTTTTTACAGGCCCAAAAGGAACAGACTCCTCTTGGAACACTTGAAACAGGAAATGTCACAAATTAAAACTCTCCCTTGGAATAATAAAAGTCACATTCCTTGCAATAAGCACAGCTAAGCAGCTGGGCAATGAGCCCTCCTGCCTCAGCCATTTATTGAAGGTGACTACAGAACAGTGCTCATGACAACCCTGGTTACTTTTTCTACTTTTCATTCTGAGCAGTAAACCAAAGGAACGTGCATACATCCACCCTCTTCAGCTGAATTATGCCAGAGCTGTACATAACTTGCTTCTCTCAACCGTACTCCCTGCTTTAATTCTTAATTGTTGTTTGTATTGTTTGTCACATAATGATTTAAAGCAAGCCATGAAAGGAAATAAATAACAGCTTCCCAAACAAAGGGTACATTGCCTTATTCCAACAGTGTTGAGTAACAGCTCTGCCTTAACTGGACTGAGCATCTATTATCTTCATGCTTCAAGTAATTCTGCAATACAAATGAAACCCTAAAAGGACTTGTGTAGTTGCTGCAATACAGAATGGCAAAGTACTTTCTCCTAGTTTTCTGCTTCTAGATAAGGTTTGTTAGTATCCAGCAATCCTAAAAACGTAGCTCTGGCTGTTTCAAAGTTTTCACTATCTACAGAACTGTAACAAGGAGAGACTGCTGCCACAGTCTTGTTACATTTCACTGTCAGATATTTGGAAGGTGATGAAGATAAGGTATAAGTAACTAAGAGAGATACTTCTGCTTTATATTCTCTGTGGCCTTTGCTGAGAGCCAGCCCAAAATAGCTGAGGGGCTTCTGAAATGACACCATGTGCTTTTCTAAGAAAGCATGAGTGGAAGCACTAGCGCAGGTGTCTCCCTGTGCTGAAGTGTGGCACTGTGCTAAAGCACTTCATGCTGTGATGCCTGTCAGTGGGAGGACTGCACTAGAATACATCCTGCAAATTAACTCCCCAGATGAACAGATTCCCTTCTATGAGGTGCTTCAACATATGGAAAAATAAGGCCCCTAAAAAGACATAAAATATAGTATTTTATGAATTTATTCATCCGTGTTGTGGCTGCAGAATTGCACTGTACATGGAACCCTCATAAAAGGGACACTGTTTTAATAAGCTTTTAGATCAATAGATTCTCATAAACAGATCCTTGTGGAAAAAGTAGGAAAAAAAAGAAAAACAAACCAAAACCAAAGTAAATATTACAGGAGAGATTTTTAGTCTTCCACAAACTCTTTTTCCTTGGAAGGATGAACAAAATTAAGCCAAAACAGAATGGAGCCTGCATTTCAATCAAATGCTACCACAAAACCAGCCATCAACAAAGAAAATGCCGCCAGTGAATGGCGTTCACTTTTCTAAGGGATCCCTGGCCCTGTCTCTTGTGTGGAGCAATAAAATCACAGAATCCTGGAACGGTCTGGTTTGGAAGGGACTTTAATGTTCATCCAGTTCCAACTCCCTGCCACAGGCAGGGACACTTTCTACTACAGCAGGTTGCTCCAAGCCCCATCCAACCTTAAATACAAAGCATTTAAATCAAACTATTGAATTCAGGAGTGCAGTGCAGGAAACAGGCTGCGGAGTAATTAATCCTAAATGTCAAGCATTTGAATTGCAGTTGGTTTTGAGACTTGTTTTGTTTCAAAGTGGTGTCAGCACAGTAACAGGATGTTCATTTGCAGAAGCACCAAAACAAGACTTCTGCAAGCTGACCTACTTCCTGGCCAGCGCTGCCATTTCAGGTGCTGTGCACCATGCCAGCAGAACTCGCTTCCTGCTGCTGAAATGGGGAAAGTGGCTGAGAGAAGCTGCTCAGCCACGAGTGTAAGTGGCAAAATGGCAGCACGATGAACTTAAGTAGACAATAGGGTAGGCTGCAGAAGACCTTAAACTAAAATGAACCCCTTAACTTACCTAATATACAGAGAATAAACAAGTGAGGCTTGGCAGGGGATGCAATGAATTCATTTTGTTTATATTGAAGCACTGGCAAACTCAGACTTAAAAAAGGAACCATATATAAAAGGTCCAGACCTATCTAAAAGGTTATGAAATGGATCCTATAGTAAATCTTCACTGTATGTTTCTTTTTCAGATTCTCTATCCTTTTCTACCCATGCTAGGCATGGAGCTGCTTTAAATTGAATCTAGGTTGCCTGAGCCAGGACGTCTAATAGAATGTAAGCTCCGATTTCAAGTGAAATCTCATCTACTCTGCCAGGTACAGCACTTGGGGGAAGCGCAGTTCTGAAAAGCCACTTCTTGAAGGACACTGCTTCCCTGCAAGTGCTTTGAAAGAACCGCAAATTTCAGATGAATGCAGCAAAAGGAGGAAAAACCCCACCCAGTGATCCCAAGTCCTTGCACCACCGGCTCTCAGTCCCAGACTAAATCCCAGGCCTTGATGCAAGCTTCAGGTTTGTTTTCATTTTCACATCAGATGCAATGATAACTTCAGTTGTATCACTTCAAGTGAAATTCAGCCAAATGATGCCAGGGGAAAATAGTTTATACACCATTGGATAGATCTCAGTTACGTGCTAAAGGCCAGATGAATTCAGTTCTGGAATTTCCGTTTCCAACAATGCTCATGCCATCTAAAATATTAACTAAAGGATGAGCTGCACCTTTAAAGCTCTGCTTGATTCACAATGAATGTCATTGTAAGGAAGCTGAAACAGGCAGTTTAAGGGAAAAATGAAAGCAATCTCCAGATTTGCAAGATCCTTGAAGATCCATGAGCTTAATACCTCCTCCAGATCATTAAGAAACAAAGCAAAAAGCTACATGTAATCTCTGTTATGATGTAAGGAAAAGTAACAGTGGATTTTTAACTACTGTTGTAGGCTACTAGCGTTACCTGGCAGAAAAGGCAAGTTTCATGTGTTAAATGGCATCAGTGCTGCCAGTTTGCTTCTGCTTAGTCCCTCAGTGACATGGGTTAGTGGGGGACTCGCAGACCCGGGGGAATGGCTGGACTTGATTTTACAGCCCTTTTCCAACCTGGCTGATTCTGTGATTCTATTCCACCCAGTATAATTTGTAGGATCAACATCAAAGTTACTGTCAGCAGCTGAGGCAAGCAGAAAACGTGAAGACACGCTCTGAAGGCGTTTTGGAGCCCAATAGGTTGCACAGCACCTTCTGAAGACGCCGCTAACTTTGTTGACCAGGAAAGAGAAAGCGGAAGACCAAAGAATGTATTTCCACGCACAAAGACACGCCGAGCCACCTCAGCTGCACCGAAACAAACCGAAAAGCAAAGAGTTGCTGCGGTAACCGCTGATCCCCGGCCGCCGGCCTCTCACCAGGGCAGCAGCGGCCCGGCCGGGCTCGGGGGCCCGCCCACCCAGAGGCGACGGGAGACCGGGCCACAGACCAGCATACCGGGAACGGGTGATCCTCCTCACCACCTCCCGCCCGCTACCCTCCCGCGGGTGCTGTGGGGACAGGGGTCCGATCCCGCCGTGGAGCAGCGGCTCCTTCCCTACCTTCTCCTCATCCGACACCCGGTCTTCGAAGTCCGCCATTTTGGCAGCTCTGGGCCCGGCCCCGCGCGGAGCATGCCGGGAGCGGCCGACCGCGCGCCGCCGCCGGGTTGGCCCGGAAGCGCGCTCAGCGCCATCTTAGCTGCGGGCAAGACGCCGCGGTGGCGGCCATTGCAGGAGCGGGCGGACCGGGAAGGGCCGCGCTGGCGGAGCCGCCGGCAGTGGCAGCCGCGGGGCCCTGCGGGGCTCCCCGGGACGCTCGACCCGCGCCCCGCCGGTTCAGGAGCGGTGATGGGCCCGGGGAGCGCTCTGCCCGCGCCTGTGGAGCCCGCCGCGCCCCGCCCCGCCGCCCGGCCCGCCCCTCTCCCGGCGTCCCCCGGCGGCGGCCATGGCGGACAGCGGCGGGAGCGGCCGGGGGCCTCCGTGCCCTGGGGCGGCCGCGGCGCTGCGGCGCTGGGAGCAGCTGAGGCGGCGGGTGGCGGCGGCGGCCCCGTGGGCCCGCGGGCTCCTGGCTGTGGCCGCCGGGCTCGGCCTCTTCTACGTGGTGCTGCGGGTGCCGCTGCGGCTCCGGGACAGCCTGGCGGCCGGTGAGACGCGGCGGGGCCGCATCGGGGGGCTGCGGGCTCGGCGGGGACGGTTCCCCCTGTCCAGACCGAGCTCCTGCGGAGGACTCTGGGGTCATTGGTGCGGGCTGAGCAGGGCAGGGTAGGGCCGGGCGCCCGCATTCCTGAGCCTCTCGCAGCGACACACCGAGCGTATCCACCCAGCCCCGGGGCTCTCGCTGGGGCCCGCGTCCCAGGCGGCCCGGCCAGTGCCCGGGGCGATGCTGGCCGTGCCCCGCCGCCACCCGGCCCACGCCTTGTCCCGTGGCGTCCGGCTGCGTGTCCCTGCAGACACCCGCTCCCGGGGCGGCTGGAGCCTGAAGCGGGGGAGAGCCCGAGCTGCCGGCCGCCTGTGCTTCTCCCGGGCTGTCGGCGGGGCCGGAGCTGATGTGCAGTAGGGTCAAACCCAGGGGCAGAGAGAGCTGGAAAACTGCCTTGTGTTGGGAGTACCGGGAAGGGAGGTCTGTGGGAAATGTGTGCTTAACGTCCAGGATCAACTTGCATGTTTCCATTTGGGATTAAAATGAAATAATACATTAAATTGGCTTGTGGGCCAGCGGCTGTGATGTGGTTGAACCCATCGTCTGCTCTAAGATTTTACACTGAATTTTTTTTTTAGATTGGGTATATAACCTAATTTACTGTAATAGATGGTTGCAAACAAGAAGTAATGCTAGATGGCAAGAATTCTCTAACAAAGGAACATCTGTAAAGCTATTAGGCTCACATTGTAATTTGCATATTTCATTTGGCATTGTTTAATAAAAACCTCTTTGTATTTTTCAGTTCTCTTGTAAAGCCTTTGTTTCTGCTTCTCTTAACAGTGACTGTGTTCTTAAGCACTTTGACTCCAAAATTCTACTTTGCCCTTACAGTGACTTCATCTTTTATATCTGGACTGATATTTGTAAGTAGTCCACGTTTATTTGTTTTAAACGACTTTTAACACCTCTAAGATGCCTTTATTAAGGGTAAATGCACTCAGCTCTTTTCTGATCAGACTCTAGAGGGTGCTTTTGTACTAGGAAGGAACTTGTTTAGTATCTTTTCTGATGCATTGTATGACTGTTTTGCTATGTGTGTTGTACATTAGGGTGAGCCTGAGGAAGAGCACTTGTTTTAAGGAGGTACATGTCCATATGTATGTGCACAGATGTGCGTATATACATAGATATATGAAAAATGCAACAAACACATGCAAACTCTGCAGGCCTCTCTGTGTAAAGAAAACACTGAGATCTGTATTTCCCTTAACCCAGCTGGTTGGTTGTTTGGCTTCCCACAGTAACTCGGGGGGGGTGGTGCTATGCAAGTGTCATTGTATAACTATGTGAAAATGAAGCAATGATTCAGTGAGGATCATCTAAATCTGTGGTGCTACATGCAAATCTTTTAGATTAATCTCTATTTCAATATTAGAACCTAAAGAAAATGTCTTTTCACATCAGTTAAACCTATTTACCAGAATGTGCAAAGTCTGTTTCATAGGTAAGGTTTTCTTGTAGCCACCACTAAAAAAAAAAAAGTGTCTTTTATGGCAGACACAACTGTTTTGCAGTCAGTAGTGTTGCCTGGGACTTGACTGAAGGATTTAGATTAGATATCAGAAGGTAGATTTAGATTTGATACTAGGAAGTTCTTCCTTGGGAGGGTGGTGAGGTGCTGGCACAGGTTGCCCAGAGAAGCTGGGGCTGCCCCATCCAGTTCCAGCCACAACCCAACTGAAAGGGTTTAGACATTATTCTAATGACTTGGGGAGGGAGGAACATAGGTTTGACTAAAATTTTACTGTTGTTTTTTAATCTCTTTCATGGCATCCTGCATGACGAGACAGGCCAAAATAATTGGTGTTAATTTATAAGCAGATGGGTTCTGTCTACAGTCATTTGCAAGGGGATGTACCAGCTGTGACCAGCGGGCTCCTCCTCTCTGATGTTTGTTGGAAGGGTGTCACCTAAGGAATTTCTGGTGTTTTCTTCCTGTGACAGGTGTTTGAGTGGTGGCATTTCCGAAAGTACGGCACATCTTTCATTGAGCAGGTTTCTGTGAGTCATCTGAGGCCCCTCATCGGGGGGGCAGAAAACAGCCCTCCAGCACCAGCGGCATTCTCTGCTGGAGAGAGTGAGACCAGCAGGCAGAACATGCCAGGTATTGCTGATGTGCCCCAGCAGTTTTCCTTAAGCTTCAAGGTTGCTGGTTGGCATGAACTGGCTTTTAAATGGCTTTGACTCCACGTTAGTGCTTATTAATAATGGTAAAGGTAAACAAAATCTTCCAATAAGCAAAATCTTCCAATACCTAGAAGGGGGCATACAAGAAACCTGGAGAGGGGCTTTGGACAAGGGCCTGTAGGAACAGGCCAAGGGGAATGGCTTTAATCTGTCAGAGGGGAGACTGAGCTGAGCTCTTAGGCAGAAGCTCTTCCCTGTGAGGGTGCTGAGGCGCTGGCACAGGGTGCCCAGAGAAGCTGTGGCTGCCCCAGTCCCTAGCAGTGTTCAAAGCCAGGTTGGACGAGGCTTGGAGCAAGCTGCTCTAGTGGAAGGTGTCCCTGCCCGTGGCAGGGGTTGGAACTGGGTGAGCTTTAAGGTTACTTCCAACCCAGACCATTCTATGATAAATAATAATGTGTCTTTGATCTAAAATGTTTATTCTTAAAAATATGGTTAAAGTATTTTACCTATTCAGTTAAAACTGTTTCAGTAACATTAGATATTTTATGTTCTGAATATGTGCAAGATAAATATTGCATGAATGTAAACGGCAGTGCTTGATCTTTCCACCATGTGCTTTTGTACCCCAGCAATGCTGGGAAGCAGCAATGCTTATGGAATAGCAGAAGTTTATAGAGAAGATCATATGTTTCTGTTCAGGTTGTGTAGTGATACAATTAAAGCACCTTTAGAAGGTAAACCTGCACTTGCATTCCTGTATTTCAAAGTCAGGGGAGTGTTGCCTGGACTCCATATTTTAAAAGTTCATATTCTTTTTTTCCTCAGAGTGCAAAGTGTGGCGAAATCCTCTCAATCTTTTCAGAGGGGCAGAGTACAGCAGGTATTTATTACCCTACTTGCCATTGCATGTTGTTAAAATGAATCTGGGGGCATACACATGACTTCTGTACAGAGCTCGAACACGTAATATCAGGAGGCACCTGCAGGATTACAGTGGTGATTGATGCCAATCCTGTGTTTAAAAGGCACCTATCCAAGTTTTGGCAGTTTCAATGTTAAGAATGCAAATATTACTATAACATCTTTTTTTTTTTTTTTTTGAGAGAGAGACAGTAAAGTAGGAGGAAAAGCTTTATTCAGAGGTTGAGACAGTGATTCTGAATTTAACTTCTCTTTATTAAACTGATGTGACTGTGTTGTAAGTCTCATAGGAAAACCTGCTTGCTAGGAAGTCAGATCTCAGGTTGGTTAGTACTTTCCAATCTGTACAGTTTATGGGGCAGTAGTACTTGAAAGTTCTGGTTAGTAGCTCCAGTCTTTTATTAATTGAATTTTCCTGCACTAGCTTCAGTTGTTAGGCACATCAATGCCCCCTTGATATCAGCATTGTTATTGTCTAGGAGTGCCTGTTACTGAGATTTCTCCTGTTAAAGGTACATGTGGGTGACTGGGAAGGAGCCTCTTACCTACTACGACATGAATTTGTCTGCTCAGGATCATCAGAACTTTTTCACATGTGATACAGATGCCCTTCGGCCTTCAGATACAGGTACCAGTGTCTTATGCATGACATATCTGACTGCTGGAGAGTGTAAAGTGGGTATTTAATATATACTGGTGGTAGCACAAGCTGTTGTGTGAAATGCTTTGTGAAATTACAGTTTTTCTCAACTACTAATGAGGTTTAACAGATGTATTTAGTGAAAAGATGTTTTCTTTTTTTTTGCCATGTGCTTTCTCTACTAACTTGGAGGCTGTCAGGATCCTGACTTAGTTTAAGGTCTCACACTTTTTAAATAGTTAACAGCACAATATTGAAAACCTGGATTGTATTCTCAACAGCCAGAGATGTCTCATTTAAACCTCAGTAGTGAATAATGCAGTCTGCAGAATTCTTCCATTGTGCTCCACATGTTCAGTGCAGAAAACGTTCTCTACCTGGTTATTGTCAGGCTGGGTGTGAACCATTGTCAATTTGTCAAGCTGGGCAAGTGTTACTTGTCAGCTGGCTGTGACATGCTTGACATGAACGATGTGTTTTTGTTTCACAAAATGGAGTGTATTGTCTCGCTCCCTAAGCCAAGACTAATATTTTGTTTCCAAAAGAAAACTCAAACATTTTTCCACGTTATTCTTGCTGGACAGCAGAAGGTTTTGTTCCAAAAGAAACATGTATAGATTCTTCAGTTTTCTTATCGTACTTGAGATAGGCCAGATACGTAACTCCATGAGTTTTGGAGTTCTTTCAGACCTCCAGATTTAGGGTGAAAGCTGTTAGTTCTTGCACGAAAAGTGGTAGCTCCAAATATGTTGTTTTGCTTTTGCTTAGAAGTTGGGTTTCAGTTTGGGATTTCCATTTTTCCCTAATACAAACATAGTGGGAAAGAGTTCAGAGTCATTCCACTGAGCTTTTGTTTGCTCCTTATCTGACTGATTTTGAATTCAAGTTGCAATTCAAGTGACCCTTTTGAACAGATAATTTCACCCTTTTTGGTTGTTCCTAGGACACATTCTGATAAGGCGATAAATTATTATAGTATATCTTGAATTGAATTTTCAACTCAAATGTTCCTGGAGCAGAGGAGGCCCAGGGGAGACCTTGTAACAGCCTTCCAATACCTAAAAGGGCCTCTTCAAGAAAGCTGGAGAAGGCCTTTTGACATGGGCATGTAGAGACGGGACTGGGGGAATGGCTTTAACCTGCCAGAGGGGAGACTGAGCTGAGCTCTTAGGCAGAAGCTCTTCCCTGTGAGGGTGCTGAGGCGCTGGCACAGGGTGCCCAGAGAAGCTGTGGCTGCCCCATCCCTGGCAGTGTTCAAGGCCAGGTTGGACACAGGGGCTTGGAGGAACCTGCTCTAGTGGAAGGGGTCCCTGCCTGTGGCATGTGGGATTGGAACTGGATGAGCTTTAAGGTCCTTTCCAACCCAAACCACTCTGGGATTCTATGAATATAAAAACAAGTAATTTAACCCTGTGTGATCTGGTAGTTGTCTAAATCTTTACGTATGAAACAGTACCTGTGCAAGACACAGCACACTCCATCCCCGTTTCCTTTGAAGTTCTGTTTGAAAGCTTAAATAAAACTCTGTGCGGGTCCGTGCAAGAACCTGTGTTTAACAGTTGCTCCTGCCAAGCTTTCAGCAAGCCTGGGGAAGTGTTTCCAAAAATCTGTAGCAGTGTAGAAATTGTACATCTGCCTGGTTGTGTAAGCTGTCTTTGCTCTCAGCGTAGGAGTTCTTACATGGTCAGAGAATAATCTTCTGACGGTGTTGCTTTCTTGAACTAAGTTTGCTTCATGATGAGAAGTTGCAAGTCTGCTGCTTATGGAATTCAAACTCTTGTTTACTGTTCTCTGTACCAGTCATATAGCAAAGAGGAATTTGCAGAATGGAAGTGAATGTTACTGTGGAGCTGACACAGAGCAGCTAGCATCACCTCTGTTGGCTCTCAGGTGTTTGTCTCTGTCCCTCATCAACCTTTCAATGTTTTTGCCACAGTTATGCAGAAAGCGTGGCGAGAGAGAAACCCTCAAGCTCGGATCAAAGCAGCATACCAAGCTTTAGAGTTGAACAATGAGTAAGTTTAGAGTCTAAGTTCAATTGCTGTATTTCTAGTGGGGAAGATTAAATGGAGTGATATTGAGCACGCTGCCAGTTTAGTGTTCTGATAATTCTGAATAGCTTAAGGGTGACCGTGAGAATTGTACATGGGCTGCCAGTTGCACTGAAGTATTGAACCATTCTATTATAAAATAGCTTTTGTTACCTTCTTTTCTTGGGAAAGATGCCATTTAATCTATGTATCAGTAGCCATAACCAATGAGAAATGTTATTCAGATATGGAACAGTCTCAATTGAAGAAGAGGTTGGAAGTGTTTCAGAGGTGGCATCGTGCTAATACTGTATTGGAAGTTCACAGATGTCACTCTTATGAGGGGTTTGAAAACACTCTTATAGTACAAACCAAACAATTCCACACACTTCTGTGGTCTGCTTTTTATGTAGTCTTGTTGGTTTTGTGCAAAATATCTACCTCCTGCTTCAAAAAAAGCAAAGCAACCACAAAAACTCTCTCCCAACAATTGCCAGAGCATTTTTAATATTTCAAGGGAAATAATTTGACTTGCTGTTATTCTTTTGTTCTTTCTCCAAATGCGTGCTCTGTAACATGGAAAAGGTTTCTGTTTTCCTGACGCTCACCATTTGAACTCAAGGCAATGTTCTGGTACTTGAATATTGTTAGTGCTTTGATACTAAACATCAGTGAAAACTGCCCAGGTCTAATGCTTCTAATGCTTAAAAAACACTAAACTTTATGCCTTTCTTATTACAGTTGTGCCACTGCATATGTCCTCCTGGCTGAGGAAGAAGCAACAACTATTGTGGATGCTGAGAAGTATTTCAAGCAGGCTCTGAAAGCAGGAGAAATGATTTACAGAAAGTCTCAGAACTGCCATTCCCAAAGTCCGCAGCATGAAGCACAGCTGAGTAAGGACTCATAACTCTTGGTCTCGTGTGAGCAGAAATGTAAAGCTAAAGTTAAAATTCATGATTCTAGTTAGATTCCCAGCTCAGTGAAGGAGTTCTTACTCTTGTAGCCATGCTTGTGCGTGGCATGCCATGGGATCTTACATAGCACCTGAATGAATCTTAGGCAGTGGCAGTTATGCTCTGTACTCATCGTGGGTTGTCTTGCTGAGGCTCAGTACATTATTTCTGGGAAAGATGGATAGGTAGAGCAAATTACTGAAGCAATTAGTGTGTTCCAGTAGTATCTGCTCTTATTCTACCAACTATTTTTAGGAAAAAATAGATTATTTTTTTTCTCATTTAACCTAGTTGAAAGTTGCCATTGGTTTAGATGGGCCTTGCTTGGGACAGCAGTAGTAATTATTTGATGCTTTTACGTGTGGTTATGAAAAAGGTTCATAGAATCCCAGAGTGGTTTGGGTTGGAAGGGACCTTAAAGCTTATCCAGTTCCACCCCCTTGCCATGGGCAGGGACACCTTCCACTAGACCAGCTTGCTCCGAGCCCCTTTCAACCTGTCCCTGAAGACTGCTAGGGATGGGGCAGCCACAGCTTCTCTGGGCACCCTGTGCCAGGGCCTCAGCACCCTCACAGGGAAGGCTGTGGGATTTTGGGTGCTTTGGGGCTTTTGAGAGAGGGAAAGAGAGGGAAGGTTTGAAACTGATAGCCTAATTTTTTCTGTCTTTGTTATCAGGAAGAGACACCAATGTATTGGTATATGTGAAAAGGAGACTGGCTATGTGTGCCAGAAAACTTGGAAGAATCCGAGAGGCAGTAAAAATGATGAGAGATGTAAGTGAAAATGTAAAAAGAGAGCAACTTGTTTTGTCACATTTCCAAATTGATTGTTTAATGTTCCTTTCTAGGCATCATAATGAATCTAATTCAGTTCTCTTCGGATGAGATTTGTATGTTGTTATTGATGATTTCTTGAGAACAGGTTTTTTTGTTCCTCCATCTCAGGTTTAAGTTACATAATGTATGTTTCTGCTGTCCAGTTTGCTTCATGCTTGACTCTTAACTTGTCAAAATAGCGAGCTTTAGACTTCACAATGCTTCTTTCACTTGCCCCAGGTGTATCATAAGTTCTTTTTTCATAGGAAAATATTACTGACCAAACCAGCTCACTGTGGGAGTTGTGCAAATTTGGGCTGAGAGTGTGTTGTGTGAGCCTCAGTCTACTTATTTTCCAGCAGGTGAATATAGGGAAAAACTAAAGTAGAAATGATGTGATTCTTTTCATGCTGCTTATGTGCCAGTTTCTAACACTTTGAAGGAAGAGAACGTTGAAAGAGCTTAAATTGTTGTACCGATTTCTGTGAAGTGTTTCAGGTGCAATTCTGCATGGGCTTAATATATTTCTCTGTATTGATTTGCAGTTAATGAAAGAGTTTCCACTTCTCAGCATGCTGAATATTCATGAAAACCTCCTGGAGGCACTGCTGGAGTTACAGGCCTATGCAGATGTCCAAGCAGTTTTAGCAAAGTATGATGGTAAGTGATGTCTGTTGGGGAAACAGTGGTGTTTTTATGTAAGAGTGTAGGTGAGGAGGGCAAGGTGTGCCTGCTCAGAAGATGTCTACCGCTAAGCTCAGCTAGGTGAGTAGATTCACTTCATCAGCAACAAATAGGAAGCTCCAGAGTCCAAGTTAAGTTTTTTCTTTTGAACAATGAGGTCAAATGTAGGCAAGCTAAATAGCACACAAATTATTTTGTGTTTTTAGGTGACTTCTAATCTGTAAAGAAATTCCTGCGCTCACTCTGCTTCAATTCAAGGATATTGTAAATTTTTAATCTCTTTTGCATCCCTGATTATGCCTAAATTCATCAGGCTTTTATCAGTCAGTGCATAGCCCCTATAGTAATTGCTGTAAATAAGCTGGAACAGGTAGTTTTCCCTTCTATTATCTTCTAGGCTTGGCCTCATGATTCTGTAAACTGAGGTTGCTTGCCAGAGATTAGCAATGTGCAAGCGTGCTGCATGTCAGAGATTAGTGGTGTGCAAGCTTTGGTCTATTAAATGGCAGGAGCTTGCTTTCACTTTCCATTTCAGTTAATACGTTTTGGGTACTGTGCAAGTCTAGATAAAGGTTGATAAAATATGTACTTACTTTCTTATTGTCCTTACAGTTTTGCCACCTAGGTAATGCCCACATCGTTAGTGCTGCTGTCAAAGCTGTCCCTTAAATCACCTTCAGAATGGAGGGACACAGACACAGTATTTTGTGGCTGTTGTTCCCTGCTTGTGAGCAGTTGCCATGTTCTCTCTTATGTCTATTTTTTATTGCTTCAGTGAATTGAAAGTAGAATATTCTTGCCCGAATCCTGTGCCCCTTGTGCTTGGCCACCCTAGCAGCCTGCTCCTGTTACTTGACTGTCCATGGTGTTCTGTGTGGATCCTTATTAATTTAACAGAACCATTTCCTTATTTCCTCGTGCTTCTTCATGTTAAAATCAGGAATTGTGACACTGAAGAAAAGGTTGCTGATTTTTTCCTAAGCATCTGGAAAAATGAGTATGAGCTTCAGGCAGTCTGTAGCACCCCTGTGTTTTGCTTGACACGACAGCCAGACTTCTAGTAAGTGATGGACAAGCCCAGGATGGGATTTACCAAAAAAAAAGCAAGAGCCATCTGACTGTACACAACATGGTACTTGGGAATTAGACCCCAGACTTTGTCTGCTTTTAAAGTAAACTTGTACTGTGGAGTGTTAACCTTCTAATCTGTAATTGTCAGCTCAAACTTGGCCTCAGATAGTCTACAAAAAGCTACAACTAAAAGAATTTTTCCCCATGGAACTGGAAAAAATGGAAATTGCATCTTCAGTCAAATTTGTCTACCTGTCAGTAGTGTCATTTTTTGGTCAGCTTCAAGTCAGTCTCTCTTTTAGCATCGTGTAAAGCTTGCTGTTAATGTACAATTGCAGTTATCGGGTAAAAGAAGATTCTGTTAAACCTCCTTGGGTTAATACAGGAAAATCACACCAGTCTTAAGTGTGTATTTAAACATGCATGTCTCTTTATACTCAGTTTCAATGTTTTGGTACATTAAAAAGAAAAAATTACACTTTACCACCTAACTACAGCTCTGAGTTGTTAATCAGTTGTTAATCTGACTGGTGAGCAGAAGGGAGACTGTGCAAAGAAATGCAGAGTTTCTCATCCTAGCTGAAATGTTCCAGATGTTACATTCATTGTCTGGTACACCCAAGTGAAAATCTTTAAGCTCAAAGGATGTGGGTTTAAAATGTTTGTCTTGCCTTAGGATCTTACAGCTTTATTGTTTTATTTTATCATAGATATCAGTCTCCCAAAGTCAGCAGCAATATGTTACACAGCAGCCCTGTTAAAAGCCAGAGCCGTTTCAGAAAGGTAAGCACGCATGTTTGTGAAAACAGCGATTTGTTACTAATCTTGAGTTATGCTGTAAATATGAATTTTAAAAGTCTGAATGTGAATTGAAAAGGTCTAAATCCAGTATGTAGCAGTTGCATTTCTAAGAGCAAGTTAAGCGTATCCCTACATACATATGTGTGTATAGTTAAAATGCAATCTAAAGTTTCTAAAGCATCCGTAATCTAAAGCATCCGTAAAGTTAATACAGGTGAAGATATTTCTCAAGAGCCCATGCACACATGTGTGCTTTCGTATCAGTCTTGTTTTCAGCATCTTGCTTGTGATGTTCAACACTTCTTTGTTTTGGGGATTGGGTGTGGGATGGTTGTGATAGTTCATGTTGGCATTTTGCTTTCACCCTGGTCTGTTTGCACAGCTGATTTCTAGCTTTACCTCTCAGTAGGTGATGCTGTATCAGGGATATGAATGACTGGGCACTCAGTTACCTTATGTGATTGACATGCTGTTTCAAAAAGTTAAACAAAACTTTGTCATATGGGTGTGGACGACAGTCAGGATACCTAAATGAACATGACCATTTGTCTCCTAGAAGGGTTTGTTTATCTTTCCTGATAAATCAGCCGATTTTTAATGAACTCCAAGCTTACAATGCAAATCAACACCTGGTTAGCATTTATTATTTATTACTTTTGTTCAGTATAGGTTTTTCCTTTCAGGTTCTCCCCAGAAACTGCTTCCAAAAGAGGGCTCAGTACAGCAGAAATTAATGCTGTGGAAGCAATTCACAGAGCTGTGGAATTTAACCCTCATGTTCCAAAGGTAGGAGTATTTTATTTCCTATTGGACCGCTTCCTATTGTCTGTTGAAAGCAAGTCACATTATATTATTGCCTTTCTAGCCCCATGTTCCCTTGGGTTGGTTAGGGTAATTCCAGCCACTGAGGAGTTAAACAAATCAGCATTTATGTCGTAAATGTTTGGTGCCAGAATTAGTTGTTTGCAATAGGTGATGATCAAACAGGGTTTTTTAAAAACATATAAACTCAGAATTTTCTAACTCATTGGAAAATCCATTAATCTGTTACTGAAGTCCCTTTACTGGGTAAGGGTAAGCACTAATACAGAGAAATTTAGATACTTAAAATCCTTGAAGCCGAATCAAGTTCTCCAAACAATAACCACTCACAGTGTTTCAAACCACTTTTCTGCTGTGCTTCCACGCATCGCTTCAGGATTTAGCTTATGCAAAGATCTACAGTCACTTAGTTTATTCATCCACGTGTCAACAAGATTCAGAATCAGTGTTGCTACAGGCTGTAATGTAGTTACTGGCATTACTTGAAGTGGCCAAGGTACAGATTCCACTGGGTGAAAATAAAATGTTATGTTGCTTTTTACTGTACTAGCGTTGGTGATGTGTTCAGCTTGAAACCTTGAATGCCGTAGGTTGGCTTAGTCCTGGACCTAATCCTCTCCAAATGATCACGGAGTCCCAGTGACCGGTGCTGGGAGGGCTGGAATTATCCAGCTGCTCTATTCTGTCTGCCTGTCCAATCTAATAGAATGTGCACTGAGAAAGCTAATTGCTGGGAGAAATTGCTGCTTGTGTGCATGACTGATCAAGAGCGTGGCAAGTTCATTTCAGACAGTCTCAGACAGATTTTTCTTTAGCCTCTGCCTTTAGGGGAAGAAGATTATAACGCATTATCGTTATCTAGAAGTGCTTTTATTTTGTGTATCCTCCAGTTGTTTCAGGAGCTTCATATACATTTTAAAAGAAGCTAAGATACCATTTCAAACAGGCTATTAGCAAAATATATTCTGTAGATCTATAGACAATCACAGAAATTGGTTCCAGGTTTCAGCAATTTGATCTTCTCTTCTAATTGTGTACCTATCCAGTCGTCTTCATGATTGATTTTTATTACAGTAGTGCTTTGAAACATGAGTTTATTAGATGGCAGGGCAGGAATTCATTGGTGCTGGCTATCGAGAACTCTGAAATGCTCATAGTCCAAGCAAAGTCAGTGGACTAGTGGGGAAGAAAATCTGGGTTTGGAATTTGTAGTCAGTTCTGTCCCATGGACTAAAAATAAATGAGTCTATAAAGTTGAAATCCTTTTCTTCTTACGTCTGATGAAAGGGGTTGTCTTTGCACGTAACATCGTTTTGCATAAGGAAAATAATGTTTGTTTCTCTTTGTTCTGAGTTCTGCTTTTACAAGGATGCGTTTTGTTTGGCAAGCGAGGAAAGCATTTTACAGTGCTAGAGAACTGGCCCTCCTGAGCTGTTTCACATTAGAGATTTGTAACTACATTTTGGTCATGTAGGAAACAATCATCTTCTGAATATCTTAGACTTTTATCTTGTGTGCAAAGACTTTCTCAAATCTGAAAACCCCAAGGTATTTTCAGGGGTGAGACTTTGCCTGTTTTATGGTTGAACACTGACATGAAAACCTGCCAGACTCTGGAGTTTTGCTGTTTATGGGTAACGTGGGCACAGAGACAGCCAATGCACTGGTATGTTGTGGCAATACTTGCAGAGGGGCTTCATCCCCACCGCTGTGCGTGGTTAGTAGTGATGAGGAGTCAGGTCAAGGGTCAGATATTGGAGACCATTTTCCCACAGCAGCCCAGTGTGAGTGATCCTTCCCTGTGTTAAACAAAAATAAATTAAAAAGAAAAAAATTGAAGAGGATTAGAGGGGATTAGCAAGAATATTCCCCTCTGGAGTGCAGGCCCAAGGCACTAAGAGAAGAACCTAGCCAGGCAGTAAATGTGCTTTATTTGGCTAGGGCATAACCCCTCCTACATTCCTTCAAGAATCTGAATGGGAAAAGTTAAGTCCTCAAACTGGATTAGTAAATAATCTCATAGTTTGTGGCATCTGCTGAAATAAATCGGCGAGTTAGCTGCATTCTTACACTTCGGGAGACAGTCAAAGGAATTGCCAGCTACATTGATCAAAGAATGTGGATTAACTTTGGCTGTGATTCAATGAGACACTACATGGTAGGAAAGAACGACTCACAGGTAAATACTGGAGCTGAAGCTGTCATTTCATTCCTGTAAAAATTACTCATCAGGTTTTAAAAGCTAAATTCAAATGAATACCTGCCCTTCTTTTTAATAGCTATGAGAAAATAAAATTGCATGTCCTGTGTTTCGAGGGAAATGGAAAACTATTGATCCTTGTGTTCCCTGACCCTGCTGTGCAGCAGCTATTCTGCTGATGGAGAGACAAGGCTGCAACTGAAAAAACCTGAAAGCGAGAGATACCTTGTGGTAGTCCAGCAAAACCACATGAAACCAAGATTTTCCTGGATTAGGTTTGTTGTTATTCCTTTGGTTAGCACACTGACACTTTCTGGTTTGCTCCTCATACTTGAGAGCTAACAAGTACTTAGCCTCCCATGTTGAAACTGTGGGTGATGAAATGATGTGCAAAAATAACCTCAGTGGTTTGGTTGTTAGTAGCCTAAACTTGTAGCCCACTGGTATTGTACCTGCAACGTTACACTTGTATGTATAGTCCACAGGAATGTATTTTTACTTTGCCTTGCTGAAGATGCAGGTTTTTTCCTTATGCTTTGTGTGTGAAAACTCCAATTTGAGTCTTAGATAAAACATGTGTTTTGCTGCTTTTCACTTCCCATGTGGGCTGTCTGCTCCATGGTTCTTGAATAGGCAGAAGCTGGCCCCTGTGATATGCTCAGTTGTGCCTCAAATGATCATTTATGTTTACAATTCAAAGTTCTTGACTATTCCATGTAATAAGAGTCCTTTCCTTTCTTACTTTCAGTATTTACTAGAAATGAAAAGCTTGGTGCTACCTCCAGAGCATATTCTGAAGCGAGGGGACAGTGAGGCAGTAGCATATGCTTTTTTTCACCTCCAGCATTGGAAGAGGATAGAAGGGGCTCTAAATCTGCTACACTGCACGTGGGAAGGCAGTAAGTATCTCTCCTTGGTTTATTTTTTCTATACAGTAGATTAGTCTCTCTGCTTTTATTCATCTCCAGCACAACTGGTTCTCTTTGTCGCTTGGTTTAGATACAGATCTAATGTCACCCACTCTTTTTTTCAGCATTTAGGATGATCCCATACCCATTAGAGAAAGGTCATCTGTTCTATCCCTATCCCAGTTGCACAGAAACAGCAGACAGAGAACTGTTGCCAAGTAAGTGGTTTCTAAGCAGTAATGATAATAAAACATAAGCTAAGGGCATGTTCAGCTTGTGGTATTCTGTATTTACCTTACTGTGAATTTTTTAGTTGGAGCTTCCTGTGAAGGGGATTCAGCTGTTTGTTGCTGTCCCTCCCAAACGATGCTGAAGCACTTGACATGCATGTGTGGTAAATGTTAGCTTGATTCCATAACAGCGCAAGCCCTTCGGAGATGAAATCTGTGTGTGGTACATTCAGACCAAGTTTGGCCAACTCTGAGAACAGCAAAGTGGGCCAGTTCTGTAAGTTACTTTTAGAAGAAGTCTTGGATTTGACTGCTGTTGTAGAGGAGCGCTCTCCTTTTAGCAAGGAATAAATGCATGATTCCAGCCCTGCATTTCAGCGTGTAGCAGAACTTGCCTGTGATCATACAGAGAACCCTTGGTTAATCTCAGCTCCACAGAATATTGCTTTCTGTCATTAATTCATTGGTACATATTTGTCTGTTTCCTGGAACTTTTTATCTATGTATGCATTTATGGATTTATACTAACACTTGACACTGAAAAGTAAGTCTTCTTCAGCTGCTCATTACTTCAAGATTACTTTGTACAATGATGAGCCTACATGTTATTTTTTTCTTTAGATAAGGCAAACAGACTAATCATTGGGGTCTGTGCTCATCAGATTTAGGAAAATAGCATAATTCAGATCAGAATTGGACTGCTAATTGTACATGCTAATAGAGTTCCGTTGGGATAGACTTCTACATCATGAAGAAACACAAGTCCCATGGGACTGAAAAGGGCTACTGCAAAAGCACCAGCAGAACCACTGAGACCACAGCTGTGGAAAGGAAAACTGCGCATACTTGTTTCTGTTTCAAAAGCCTGAAGTTATATTTAAAATGTGTAATGTAAATTTGCCCCCAGACTGCTTTAAATTACTCATTTCTCACTTATGCAGGATATTGCACAAGGAATTCCTTGGTTAGCAGCTACCCCTAAATTGTAGACTTCCCAGCATAATTAAACACCAACACATGCAGCTATTTCAACAGGATCACTCACGCATTCCTGTTATGTTTTAAATATAAACTTACCCATAAATAAAATCATCTTAACACTTTTATTGCAGAACTTCCTTGAGAAATCTTGACACTTTTGGTTTGGTTTTGTTTTTTTTTTTTTTGTAATTTATCTATTTAAAATAATGTTGACCAAATCAGTGGTTCACAAATCCTGTATTGGTCTGACTGGTACCAGTTTTGTGGCTATGAACACACAGATTTATCTTTAGTTGTCCTTATCTATTTTGGGTTTGATTTTGATTTTTCAGTGTAGGAAAAACTTCTGTTGGGACCTTTCCTAAATTATAGTGCTCCATATTTCACATAGTATGAGTGTAAAAGTGTTCTATGGTAGCCAAATGGTTTCTTTGGTTGCACAGTAGAGGGGAGCAAGTTACTATCACCTGTACTGTGGCCTAGCAGGGCTGGTTGCATATTAAAGTGAACTGATAATCGCTGGGAGAACATTAAACATGACTGATGGGCATTAAGCACAGAGCCCCAAATGTTCTCCTTAGTAGTGCTCCAAAATCATATACTTAAAAGCAAACCAAAACTCAAGCACTTGACCATTAACAAGTTGCAAGAGCACAAACCACTTCTGCTGGGCTTGCTCTTACAATGGAAGCTTATTATGTGCCAGCATTCAGGAGCTACAACTGAGAGGGTAAAATGTCTTCTTCCTCCTCAGACTTCAGTTTAAAAACTAATATTATTGCATTTTCTTGTTTTGTGAGAGGGCTTGCTTAAATTTTGAGGGTTTTGTTAGATTTTAAGCACAGTTTGGGCATGCTGCCCTTTCAGAATTACGTATGTCTATAGAAACTGGTTTTTGTCTGCATTTAAAAACCCTTTAAAATCACTGGATAAAAGTTCAGAGCTGCAGGTATTCTGAGCCAGTAATTGCAAATTCACACATGGGTCCTCAGCTAGTAACCAGTAGTAGTGTCTTGAGTGCTGAAAGCTCCAGATGCCAGTCCTTAGCCTGTCTAATCGCCTTCTTTGGATTTTGTTACCATGAATTGGAAATTGCAAGGAGCTGCTATGTGCAGAATTTATAACCTGGTCCTGGTAGTGTTTTCTTTGAGGTCTGCTCTGTCAGCTGCTCTGAAACAATTTACTGTGGCCTACCAAGCAGGAATCTTTGAGAAGTATTAAGGAGCTACCCTGTATCTACAACAGGATGGTTGCCTTGGGCTTCTTACAGGGTGGGGAGAAGTGCTGGTCTCTTCAGGTAAGGATTAATGCTTCAGAGGCTTGAAACACCTGAATTGTTTCGGTTGGTTTAGGTAATTTGGACAGCTTGTGAATTGTACAGTTCTTCCTGCTGTCCTGTTGAAAGAGTAGGTACCAAAAACTAAGCCTCATGAAATGCTTCAAAAATAAAGCCCATGCAAGATAAAAAAGATTGGGAAGAGAAAGATGTATCAACTATTAATAAGCATAGAATCATGGAATGATTGTGGTTGGAAAGAACATTAAGATCATCTAGTTCCAACGAATGAAGAATTTAATATAGGGAAAAAGGCTTGAGAAGTTTTAAGTGCTGGGACCTAACGTGCTGCATGATAGTCCCCACTTAATCCCTCTGAAAGCCTAGAACTGAGGTACAAGACTGTAAGTAATTCAGAAAACTGTCCTTGATTATCAAATACCAATAATTCTTCATTTTCTCTTTCAGCATTTCACGAAGTCTCCGTTTACCCACAGAAAGAGCTCCCCTTTTTCATCCATTTCACAGCAGGCCTGTGTTCCTTTTCGGCGATGCTTGCCCTCCTCACGCACCAGTTCCCTGAGCTGATGGTAATTTTTGCTAAAGCTGTGAGTATTCTCTCTGTCGTGGGGTAACTTGTGGGATGTTTTGAACTTGGAGGCTGGTGGTGAAGAATGTTCTAGTCAGTCTCATGCTTGTTGGGCATGAATCATTTTCTCTCCTTTTGTAAGAATCTCATTACTGATCAATGTTGAAATTTGAGCAAAATGTCTGGTTTGGAAAGATACTGACTGCTACTATAACAGCATGGCTTTAATTTGCCCTCTTATGGTAAGGGAGCAGCATTTCAGAGAAATTCTGGCACAGAGCACTGTGGTGAGTATGGATTTTATTCTCATGGAAGTCAAGACTGCAGTGTGAGAGCCTCAGATACATTTATTGACTGGAGATCTTGAGAAGTAAGTAAAAGGCAGGCTGGGCTGCAGGCAAAACCAGGTCTCTTGCTGAGCATTGGAAACTAGTAGCATGATGTGAATGGAATGGATGGGAGCAGTGGTCAAGTAACTGTTAAGTTCCAGCTGGGTTCAGCAGTTAGCTAGCTGTCACTTCCCTTCTGGGAACCAGACCAATGGGTTTATATCTCGCCCGGTTCCAGTTACTCGATGGAGAACGTGTTCAGTGCCCACAGTTCTGTCATTAGAGTACTTGAACAAGGGCAGAAATTACACTTGACAATGGCAATCAGGCTTTTAGGTAGATATGTTTCTAATCCAGGCTGCTTTAAACGTATCTAAATACATCTGCTGTTGAGGTGTTTGTTCCTATGGGTACCTTCTGTGTGTCTCCTTTCTCCCTCTCTCTGCCCTGCTTTTTTCCAGGTTTCTTTTCCTTACTTGTTACCACTGCTGCTGGCTGTAACCTTGTCCTCTTTCCCTGCACTCTGAAAGCTGTGCTGTCTCATTTGACAGAGGGAGAAACTGCCTAGGCATCTTCCCCTCCCCACTTCTCATACTAAGCCATGCAGTAGATTTGCCCTTTATTGAACTGTGGAGCTCATGCGGTAAAGCAGAGTGGCAAATAAAGAGCTCTGAACTCTCAATGAATCATTTCTTCTAGCTTTGCTAGTCAAAATAAGGGGGTGAAAGGCATTATGCTTTCTTGCTGTTTTAATGCAGCAGGTAATGGAGACCAGGGAGGTGAGCCTTTTTGCTTAAGAATACTTTGTTCCTAAAAGCGTTGGCTTTGCTAGTGATTCTAGTCTACAGTGTCCAAGTCATGCAGGTCTGAGAGTGGGGCCTCATTTCCACACAGTTCTGTTGATCTTTATGTTGGAAAATGTAGTTGGACATGCCAGTGACAAATTTCAGTGCTGCTCGTAATTGGCTGGGTTCATAGTAACCAGGGTCTAACTATCTGCTTGATTAATTCTGTAAGGACTGCATTAGCAAAGTTGTATGATTTCCAAAGAGATACAAGGTCAAATGTTATGCTAACAAAGAATTGCTTGGTGAAGTTCTCTGCTGGGTTTCTTGAACCAAAAAAAAAAAAAGACTTTGTACAAGTTAGTTGGCTTTGCATAATGGCATTTTGAATGTCAAGTGACGTGTCCAAATGAGGGGAAAAGACTCCCAGGGTCTGGTCATTTGCAGTCTGTTCATTTTGCTTGTTTTCTATAGGAAAGGACTGATAGTGTCTATTCAGTTGAAAAGATGGTCAAGAAACATGCATGTTGCTGCATCATTCCACCAACCAAGTCCCACTGGTGGCAGGCACAGACAGAGAGGTTCTTGACACTCGCTGTACCAGTTTCATGCTGGTAAAAGTGGAAACTGTGTATTGAGATAAACAGGCAAGAGAGGAATTCTGTATCATCTCTTGAGATTGACAGCTGACAATACAATCTTCCAGTATTCTGCTATTTTAGATGGAATTAATGTGAACTCCCAGTAATACCCATAATTATTAGATTATTGTACTCTCGATCCCATTCCTGATGCATTCAAGGCATTCACACAACTTGCAAGAAACAATGATACTCAAAATCAAGCTAACCCTTCTGATTTTATTCATAGATTGCTTCAGTATTTTAAGTACAGATAATGCTGTGATGGCTGCTAACACTGTTGTGTTCTGGAAGTACATGGCACTAGCATCTAGTTGAATTTTTATACTGAAAATGGAAGTTTACCTTCTATTTAACGACATCTGCCTCTCTACCCAAAAATACTGTAATGAAACTATTATTTGCTGTATGTAGCATTATATTTGTAGGTAATTCCAGTGCTTTAAGCTTTCTAAATGATTTTTCCCCATGTATTTAATTATTGCAGGTATATTTTCATGGTGTGTTTTAACTTATTACATATAGTAATTTGAGATAATAAAGTTCTAGGTGGCAGATACCTGGAGTATGTTGGCCTTAATGAAAAAGCAATACAAAATATTTCTAACAAATTGTTGAACTGTTGAATTTCCCAACAAATCCAGACCAGAACTTTAGGAAGGACAATTGGAAAGTATGATACATGTGGAATTTTTCACTATAAATCTCTATAAAGTGACTTAAATGTGACTCCTTAGATGACATTTCAGTTGTTTCTTGAGCAACCTGTTGTTTCCAGCAATTGAATCTACAGCAAACTGCAGGTCTCTAAAGGGTTTTAAGAAGCTGAATACCTTTGTATTGACTTGAAAAGTCTGAGTTTACATATTTTCATTTGTTAGTGCTTGAGTTTGTTTCCTCCATAATAAATCACAGGGTAAACCTTGGCAAGTTGCTAAAAATGTTCCAAGTGGCCAAAAATCACAATGAAGCATTTACTAGTTCCAATGTATACAGCGTAATACACCAGCAAGAGAGACCCAAGCGCTGGTGCTGTCTGCAGGTCGGATCCTTCTGGAAGGGGACTGTCCTGAGCCGTCCTCACGGCCCTGGGACCAGGCACCAGAGGGGGTTTCATTGGGTCTTGCAGAGGTGGAAGGGTTTCCCAGCACCAGGGAGTGGTGCTGGCGTTAGCATTTACAAGCATCTGCAAGAAACCTGGAGAGGGGCTTTGGACAGGGGCCTGTGGGGACAGGCCAAGGGGAATGGCTTTAACCTGCCAGAGGGGAGACTGAGATGAGCTCTTAGGCAGAAGCTCTTCCCTGTGAGGGTGCTGAGGCGCTGGCACAGGGTGCCCAGAGAAGCTGTGGCTGCCCCATCCGTGGCAGTGTTCAAGGCCAGGGAGTCTTGGGAGTCCCTGGGAGTCTTGGGATGACATGGTTTAGTGTGAAGGGGTCCCTGCCCGTGGCAGGGGGTTGGAACTGGATGAGCTTTAAGGTCCCTTCCAACCCAAACCATTCTGTGGTTTATGGATTCAGTTAGACCCAACTGTGGCTTTCCAGTTCTCTTGCAAGTAGGACTTTTAATATTCTCTGATGAAGGGAAGATGTGCCACTGGGGACAGTGGCATAGGTAGTGGTAGAGAACTCCACATCAGCTGAAGTACAAGTACAGTTGTTCTCAGTGGGTAGGAGCTCAGCCTTGCTGTTTGTTTCAGCCAGATATCTGATGCCTTGGAGAATCACCCTGTTCTTGGTCATCAGAGACCAGCAACTACTTAAGGAAGCTGGTCAGAATATCCTCATTAAGTGACAGGAGGGAGGAGGCACACAAAAGGCATGGCAATAATCTGTGCAGTTCACTGAGAAAACTGAAAAATACTGTTACATAAAACAACCTCTGAAACTGCAGACGAAAAGGTGGAGAACTGGTAGCTCTGTATCATCTTGTCCAAATCCTTCTGTAATCTCTTACGAAGACACCAAAAAGTCTGCCTTCAAGAAAGCCAGAGATGCAGAGTGACAGCAGGCACTGGAAATAGGCTTCTTAGAAGTTCCTTTAAACAGCTAACCTTCCAAGCAAGTCAGTCCCATTCTTTAAGTCCAAACTTTGTGCTACTGGAATAGGCCAGCAGTAGTTAATATTAAAGTACTGAAAAAATATTGCAGCAGTGTTCCTGCTAAATCCTACTAAAAACAACTTCTTTGTGCCGGGAATTGGACAAAATCCTAAGACAGTCCGTGTTCTAAAGTGTTTTGATATGGATTGCTTGATGTTTTCACAACAAAGCAAGAAGTCATGGGGCTTACATTAAAAATTGGCTATTTTTTTCTGATTGCATGATTAGAAGAAACCATTTCTCATTCTTCTTGTTTGTAGCTCCCCGTTAAAGGACTTCTTGCCATTTTGCTGATAGCAGCCGTCTAGGGGGAGAAAAATAGGACTAAAGAGAGCCCTGTCTGGCAAGTCCTGCTTTCTGTGACACACTGTGTTACTCTCTGAACAAATCCCTCTGCCACTTTCCCCAGAGCTCATTAGTGAGACTGGAGAATTAACTTTTGAGCCAGCTGCTGAACTTTTCATATTTATAAACACTTGAGTCTTTTGCTTATCTAAGAGAAAATGTGTATAGTTTGGAGATGTGCACTTCCCTCCAATGTGAAATGAGTGGTTCTACACTTCATAGAAAAAACCCAAAGCCTGAAGTTTCCTGTCACAGCTGAGTGTCGATGCCAAGGGCAAAGGTTTCTTGCCTTGCTAATCTCCATCTTAACTCATGCACTTAATGTGAAGGTGCCACACGCAAGCAGGCAGGGAAGAAGCTAGCTCAGTGAAAAGCTCCTGCACTGCTCCGAATGTTATGTTTTAAAAGCCTTTTTAATGTAATATTTGAGGTTATGATAGAAGCCAGGAGGGCCCAAGTAAAACCCTCAAAGTAAATGAGTCCTGTCATTGCTGCCTTGTGAAAAGAGGGTTTGTGCAAGGATAACTCAAGTCCCAGTGGAATACTTGGGGGATGGGTTGAGAAGGTGCAGAGGAGTTTGCACCATTTGTTTTAGCCTAATCTTTATTTCTGGAACTGTTTAGATGGCATCTAGAATATGGATCCTGTCTGGAAGCATGGGCTGGTCTTGGTGGATGGTCTGTTCAGTTTTCACACATTTGAGTTGATGACCTGCACAGAATCCATGAACTTCCAAGAAAACACACTGTCCTCTTCCCCAGCCGGTTCCACACTGAAGAGGGTGGCTGGAAATGCTGTGGCACAGAGAAACACTGTCCTAATCCCCCCCCCGCTTCTCCCTAGGTGCTGCGGGTGCTGTGGCCTGTGAGTGCTCCCAGCGTTCTGGCCTCCAGCTGAGTGGCCTGCACCAAGGTGAGTGGATGAGGCTGGAGCCCTGCCTTCCAGAGGCATTCTTCTTCTTTTGTATGTCTTGGGTGGTATTTAATGTTTCCTGCAAGCCTATTTCATGGCATCAGCTCTGTTGCCTTGAGGGAAAGATACAGGGTGGTTCTGTGTTCATACCTTGAGCCTGTAAAAAGACATTGGTTTGGAAACTGAGCTAATTTGTTGTTGTGTTCTGCTTCTTCCAGTGCTCTGGGACTCTTCTTTCACCCCTCAACTCCATTATGGAAAACAGTCTTCTTGCTGTCCAGTTTCTGGCATCAGATGACTCCAGTGTGACTGGAGATGCTTTCCATGATTGTTCTTGTAAGCCTCACCCCAGGTGGTTACCTGACCCCTACATGTGTGGGGCAAGGAAGAAAGCTGTGCTCTTCAGACTCCTACCTTTGACAGGCTTCCATGTTGGTAATGGTGCTTAACTTACGAATTCGTTCTTTGGCCTTAGTCTGTAATCACCTAAGAAAACAGTTTTTGTTGAGCAGTACCTTAATCATACAATTGGAAGCTGATACTTCCTCTGTAAGAAAGGAGAGGACACAAATGGAGCAGATGTTTGGAGTATTGACACTTCCTTGTCAGCTGCAGATGCACCAGATAATTGGCTTAGATTTAATTTTATAAGCCTTCTTCAAAATATTTGTTAACAGCAAAGTATGGTTCTGCTTTCGTTATTAAAAGGTTGCTTCTTAACACATTGAACTTGTTGCCTTCTTAAGTGTCTGTTTAAATTGGATTTTAGTGGGCAAACAAAGATTTGTTTGTGTCCTATAAGCTTGCGTTATGCAAGGAAATGGAAGTATAAACTCCTTCACACTGATACTTCTTTAAATTTAATTGTGTATCTTTTGTCTTTCAAACCACTTTGCCTTGAAGCACAGGCTGCTTTCTGAAACTGCCAAAAGTGGTTGTGATATCTGCATGGGAGTCTTTTGGGAGACCTGAACTTTCAAGTGTTAGTCCAAAGTATCATCGTTGTTGATATCAAGCCTTGAAGAGAGCGGAGATGTGGAGCACTCTTCAAAGGAATTGCTTCATATACGGACCAGCTACAAGGGTTTGTTTACTGCAGAGGTGAAAAAAAGGCTGTGGCAGCCAAGTGGTTTGAGGTAATTGGTATGACCCCCATTAGAGAAAATGTCTCCTTTCTCACATTCAGGTCCACTGCTTGGCACTGAGGAGGCAGAGTCACGTTAACCAAGGCTGTTTAAGGGTGGGAGTGATAAAAATAGCCCAGACTGGTGGAGAAAGGCAAATTCTGAGCACAGGAAACGTTGGCCATCATCTTACATTTTATAGATAAACACATATACTTACCATGATAACTAGGGAGATTTTACATGTGTAACCTTCACTGATCTTGGTGAAGGATTGATGTCAGCCGTGACATTGATGGCTGCTTTCAAAGGTGGTGTTAATTATTCTAGTTTCTCAATTTTGGATGGAAGAAGCTTGCTGTAGCCTTCTCTGTTCTGTATAGTAACACCTAAATCAATCAATTAGAGGTCAATTTGAGTTGACCTGTAATCTGTCTTGATGCAGAAGACTGGAAATGACTTTTTTCTTCTTTATTCCTGACTCCTTCTTTACATTGTAAGCAAAGTGCTATCAGGTGGAGAGTTGCCTACGCATCTCATGTTAAGTGGAGCTTATTTGTAACCCTGGCTGAGAGGAAACACACATGTTTAGCTAGAAATGCTGTTGTTACTCTCCACTGTATGTATGTATTGACTGGGCTTTAATCCAAGTGAAATACTTGAATTCATTGAGGAGTCAAGAGGGGAGCCCTACACAAAGGTACTATCACATCTTTTGAGTTGCCTAACTACTAGCAGGTAATTTGCTCAACTCTCTTTCCAGTTGAATGTATGTCATTGGGGCTGTTTCTCACTGTGGAATCATTGGGGTGATTAATAGATATGTTGTGTTCATGTAATTTCACTTCTTGGTCCGCAGGGGCCCATAAGGTAACCAACCTAATGCTTTTTAAAGTTGAACATTTTCCAGCGTTTGTGTGGGGTTATAAATGAAGCACTGCCTCCCATGTATCATCCCAAGAGCTGCTTTCTTTCACTGTCCTCCCCTGACATAACAGTAAGAGAAAGGGGATGGGCTTATGCTGAAAGTATAGCTGGCAACAGGCAGTGTAATGAAAATCTTCCTCTCTCTGCAAGTGCCAGTAATTCTTGAGGAAGGAGGAGCTCTCTCTCTGATTTCCTAGCAGGGCTGTTCATGCAGTATAGGACATTGATTTGCCACTTTGGAGCAAGGCCCTACAACCTGATCCATACCATGGTAATAGCTGTATCAGTCCATATGCAGTTAAGTTGCATGCATGTGTGTGTGTATATACACATATATATATCTGAGGGGATTCTCCCCATCTACTGCACTCCAAGGAGACCCCCTGCAGTCTTGATCCAGCTCTGGGGCAACAAGACAAGAGGGACGTGGAGCTGTTGGAGCGAGGCCAGAGGAGGCCATGGAGATGCTGTGAGGGCTGGAGCAGCTCTGCTCTGGAGCCAGGCTGAGAGAGCTGGGCTGGGGCAGCCTGGAGAAGAGAAGGCTCCTGAAGGGGAGACCTGAGAGCAGCTCCAGTGCCTGAAGGGGCTGCAGGAAAGCTGGAGAGGGGCTTGGGACAAGGGATGTAGGGACAGGCCAAGGGGAATGGCTTTAACCTGCCAGAGGAGAGACTGAGATGAGCTCTTAGGCAGAAGCTCTTCCCTGTGAGGGTGCTGAGGCACTGGCACAGGGTGCCCAGAGAAGCCAAGCCAGCCAAGTGTGTGCATGTCTCCAGAGCATTCTCAGCCATGTGTGGCAGTGTCTTCTCCTCCAGAGGCAATGACTTTGTGCTGAGCATCTTTATGGAGTCAAACTTTCCACTGGCTACTGGTGCTGTTAGAACAACAAAGCTCTTAGAGCAGTGGTGAGGCAGTTTAGACTAATAAATATTTCTAGGTAGCAGGGTCTCCTTAAGGCAGCTCTAGTTCATGTGGGCTTTGAACCACATCAGAGTTATCCTCTGGGGAATGAGCTCTCTTGCAGTTATTCACCATGCTGTGAGCCCTTTGCTCTCTGGGGATAGATGTGTGTGTTACTAGCTTTTGTGCACATGTATATGTGGCAGCAGGACTTCTGCTGTCAGAAGCCCTGGTCACTGAGGTTTGGTGACAGATTCACATGCAGATGGTCACCCCATAGCCCTGGCTGCTGCACTGGAGCAGTTCCTGCTCCGGGTTTGTGGCAGGCCAGTTCCTTCCCGCATCTCCTCCGGTGCTCTTGTTTATTCCCTGCTCCTCATCCTGGAATTGTTGTGAGGGTGCCAAGGCTCGTAGATCCATGACTCTGAGCAAGGCAGGGTTTAAAGGTCATAGTCAAGACCATTAATAACAAGGTGCAAACGGCTGGTTTATATGTAATGTGAAGCTTTTTACTTATTTCATTTTTGCACTTTGGGGGCTCTGTTTGCTTATGGAGCACTTGGTGTCTGGTACCTATTTAGGCTGAGAGCAGGCAATTGGGTTCCTTCAGGCCTTCAGAGGAATGCAGAAAATTGTTCTCTGGTGTTGTAATTCTGCTGGGATAACTGGAGCTTATTTGTCTCTCTGCTTATTAAATGCATACTTGTCTTGAGGTCCTCTTCTTTTTTTTTCTGAGAAACATTGGGTGAATCCCAAGGACCACAAGTGAGAGGCAGATTCCAGGGAGAGGGGGAGAGGGAAGTGCCTGTACCTCTACAGGCTGCATCATCTGCCTCCAGTGCCAACAGGCTGGAGAGGTTAGATACGAAAGCAAACTCGCTGAGAGGAAAGGAGACAGGGATGGGGCTCACACAGACATACATGAATGTTGCCCTTGCTCCTGCCCACAGATGAGACATCGAGGGAGGGAACGCACCTCCCAAGCTGCTAATACATGGGTGCTGTGAAGGCAGGGAGCAAACCCACCCTGGTGCTGTGCTTTGAGCAGAGGACAGTGTTGGTAGCATGGGCAGGAAGGGCAGATGGGGTTTGTTCTCTACCAGCTTCTGTGTAGTGCCCAGCATGCCCTGTTTTGCTGTTATAAAGGACTGACAGATTCTTCCCTCTTCTGCAGTTAAGGCTGTACAGTGCGCAGGTGATGTGTGAGCTATTCTGATCTTATGGGTGAAAATCCTCTCGACATAGATCATGCTGATGGCAGCAACCACACTGGTCTGAATTCACCCTGCTTTTAATAAAGGTGGATAGAGGGGAAGGGCAGCTCCAGCATCTAGCTCTGCCTCTCATCTCCTGGCTCCCTCCTCCCTTTCTCAAGCGTCCCAAGTGGGGTGTGCTCTGCATGCCCCAGCCCTTAGCACTGTAGCAAGAAGACAGTGATGAGGGATGCTGCTCATGTGCTTGGAATTTTCCTCATTTCCAGTTTCAGTTGTACTGTGCTTTTTGGTGGGCCCTTCGGTGAGTCTGGTCACTGGGGAAAGCTAGAAAACACACCCACACGTAGTGCCTCAGTGAGGATGCATCCACAAGATGAGTGTGTGTCCAGTGGGGATCTGCTTGCTGTGGTTATTTCTGGGCAGTGACATTTTCCAGTCAGCCTGGATGCGCTGAACTGTGCAATCACATCATGGCCTCGGTAGCTCGGACCCTTCTCTTAAGGACCTCTTGATTCCTTTTCTAATTTGGCTGTAGCCTATCATCAGTTATAAACCAGTGTGACACAGTGTGTGACTATTGCATTCTCCTGCATTGACTCATGAGCTGAGATTCCAGAGCAGTGACCCCCTTGCTGCTCGCTGGAGCAGCCTGTGGTGACTTGGCTGCAGTGATTCAGGATGTGAAAGCTCCCACACAGGTCTGGGCAGGTTGTGCAAATGGGAGTCAATGGGCCCTGATGAATCTGACCCTGAGAGCTGGACCTATTACAGCAGATGACCCCCACAGGCCACACAAGCAAAGCCTTTTGTGTGTGTGTGTGAATGTGATGTTGAACTGCAGGGCAGCAACAAGGGGGTTTGGGACTGGGGTATAGGTGAGCAGCATGTGTGCTCTGCATCGCTGCAGCTCTTGATCTTATCACTTGCAACTTGACCATGCTGCAACTTGATCTTATCACTACACCCATCCCAAAAATGATGGTGTCACCTGGGTCGTGGTGACATGAATGGCTGTTCTCACTCACATGTGAGAAAAAATAGCCTGAATTTCTATGGATCCTGTGTTTCCAATGCCTCCTAACTCCTCCTGGGTGTCCCATCCAGCTTCTTCAAAGAGGGTAACTTACTCTGAAGCTCATGGAGGAATTAATTCTGCTCCTTGTCCTTGAGCTCAGACATGCTTCTGGCTGGAGGGTAAGTAGAAGATGATCTTACATAAAAAACTCCCTGCACATTTTAGGCACATTACTTGAGGGGTTTGAACTGAGTGTTCCCTGATGGGACTGCAGCCTTCATAAATGTTCATAGATGGGAAACCTCTTGCTGAGGAGTGTGCTGAAGGGGAGCTTCACTGGGGCTCACCTGCAGGAAGACATCGACCAGTCTGCGTTTCCCCTAAGTCCACAGTGGGACTTCATCTTGCACCAACCCTTGGAGTTAGCTCTGGGGAACCACTGTGTTTCTGATACCCAGGCTCTGTGGGTTTGCCAGTAGTTGATGGTTTAAGTTTGTGGGGTGTTTGAGTTGGTTTTGTTTTTATGGGAAAGGTTTGGAAGCTAAACCAGCA